AATAAAAAAAAAATCCAAAAAAATCCTAAAAAATCCTAGAACATTCCAGGAAAATCCTAGATAATCCTAGAAAATCCTAGAAAATCCTAGAAAATCCTAGAAAATCCTAGAAAATCCTAGAAAATCCTATAAAATCCTAGAAAATCCTAGAAAATCCTAGAAAATCCTAGAAAATCTTAGAAAATCCTAGAAAATCCTAGAAAATCCTAGAAAATCCTAGAAAATCCTAGAAAATCCTAGAAAATCCTAGAAAATCCTAGAAAATCCTAGAAAATCCTAGAAAATCCTAGAAAATCCTAGAAAATCCTAGAAAATCCTAGAAAATCCTAGAAAATCCTAGAAAAACCTAAAAAAAATCCTAAAAAATCCTAAAAAAATCCTAAAAAAATCTTAAAAAATCCTAAAAAGTCCTAAAAAAAATCTTAAAAAATCCTAAAAAATTCTAAAAAATTCTAAAAAATCCTAAAAAATTCTAAAAAATTCTAAAAAATTCTAAAAAATTCTAAAAAATTCTAAAAAATTCTAAAAAATTCTAAAAAATTCTAAAAAATTATAAAAAAATTCTAAAAAATTCTAAAAAATTCTAAAAAATTCTAAAAAATTCTAAAAAATTCTAAAAAATTCTAAAAAATTCTAAAAAATTCTAAAAAATTCTAAAAAATTCTAAAAAATTATAAAAAAATTCTAAAAAATTCTAAAAAATTCTAAAAAATTCTAAAAAATTCTAAAAAATTCTAAAAAATTCTAAAAAATTCTAAAAAATTCTAAAAAATTCTAAAAAATTCTAAAAAATTCTAAAAAATTCTAAAAAATTCTAAAAAATTCTAAAAAATTCTAAAAAATTCTAAAAAATTCTAAAAAATTCTAAAAAATTCTAAAAAATTCTAAAAAATTCTAAAAAATTCTAAAAAATTCTAAAAAATTCTAAAAAATTCTAAAAAATTCTAAAAAATTCTAAAAAATTCTAAAAAATTCTAAAAAATTCTAAAAAATTCTAAAAAATTCTAAAAATTCTAAAAAATTCTAAAAAATTCTAAAAAATTCTAAAAAATTTTAAAAAATTCTAAAAAATTCTAAAAAATTCTAAAAAATTCTAAAAAATTCTAAAAAATTCTAAAAAATTCTAAAAAATCCTAAAAATCCTAAAAAAATCCTAAAAGATCCTAAAAAAATCCTAAAATATATAGCATTCAAAGTCAATGGTGTTTATCCACAAAGTGGGTAGGTAGTGAATACCAGCGTTAATAAATAGTTTTAACTATGAAAGCCAAGCTTTACGAAGAGTTCAGGCATCATTGACTTGTTTATATAAATTTAGACTTAGGTAACTTTGTCGACAGTCCAGATATTTTTACCAAAATAAACCTAAATGTACCCAAATATAGTTATTATAGCAGTTCCAGAATAAAGAAAAGAAGGCCAGGAAAGAAAATCTGGGAAACATCGATAATCACGTACACAAAAACTAATATTTCTCATTTAAGACCATATAAAAAACACAACAAATGTTTACTCGAATTTTGTAAGCGGATGTTATTAATTCTTTAATTTACTTGAGGCATATCGCGTGAATACTAGTATGTACCAAAACATTGCTTTTATGGCATGTCTCAACTCATTTTGAAATTTAACGTTATTAACGTAGGTTGAAAAATATAGAATAATTAAGGAGTTATTAATTTAATAGTTTGGAACTTTCATTTGTTTTCGTAAGTTTTGCTTAAACCTCATCTACATTGTATACTGTGGTAGTAATATGTAGTGTGATTTATGAGTTTAGTGTTGTTCATTAGATGAAAATTTTGGCAAAATGGGTGAGACGAACGAAAACTATTTTAATTACAATTATTTGTTATTTTTAGACATTTCTTGAAAGTTAAAATTTTTAATGATTTCCTTAATCTTTTCTTAAAAAATGTTAAGAACAGGTATATGATCTTTTCATTTAAAATATGATAGTTTTAGGGTCACTTTGTATAATAAAGTGTATAATTAAGATTTGTAATTAAAATATATATATATTTTCGAAAAAAAAAAAAAAAACTATTTAGGGTATTAATATAATATTTATTTTAACTTTTTTATCATTCAGGCTGATAAAAATAATATGTTTAAATTTTCATTTAACATAACATGAATATTTTCAATAATTTCAATTTTTTAAATGGATACATCATTTTTTTATTATTTCATCATATTCTACAGCCAAAAATAAGTGTTTATGTTTGTTTCCCTATACTACTCATCTGGGAGTTTTTTTATAAAAAGAGAATATTGAAATAACAATTTTAATCTCAACTCATCAATTTGGCTTTATGGGAAATACTGTATATACAAAAATAAAGAATCTAAAATTAATAAAATGGCATTAAACGATATTATAAAATAAAAAAGAATTAAAAAGGAATAGGTATATTCAAGAATTTTTCTACAATTCTTCTTATTAACTTGATAATATGCTCGTTTTGAATAACATACTATTTTACACTCTTTTAAATTACTTTTTGTAATCATGATACGTTTAATAATAAATAATTCCGACTTTTATTCATTGTAACATCCTGTATATATGATATAATGGGGTCTATTCTGTAACAATTCCTTTATATTTAACGGCCTTTAAAACTATTGACGGCATATAAAAATATGTTCGTATTCGTTAATTTACTTCTGTCATTATTTAAACAGATTTCTTTAAGATAGTCCTCTAATGTATTTTAAAGATCCGTTTAAATAATGACAGAAGTAAAGAAGAAAATATTTTTAAAGGCCGTTAAATATAAAGGAATTGTTACAGAATAGACCCCATTATCTAGTACGTTATTTTATTTTGGAATAATTATTGAATGTCAATTAAATTTTATATGACTGACAGATTTTTTGAATAATTGTAATAACTAATACAGTTTTCGCTTCCTGATTTTTTGATTCGTTTTTCACATTCATTGCTTTTTATTATATTCGCCCATCCTGTTTGTTTATAATCAGAGCGTAGCTCGTGCTCTGTAATCTCTAAACGTAAAATACTAGAAAATAGTTAAACGTATACCTATTGATTGAATATAGACACACCTAAAAATTATACCAACCTTTTATTGATTTTAGAACCTTTGTTTAATTTTCACTTTGTTCTAAAATTGTTATGTAATAAAATAATAGTTCTCCAATACGCAAATATGGCACTTCTTGTTATATTTATGTGTGGAAATTCATTCGTATACCCCCATTATATTAATTGCATGAAAGAAACCATAAAAAAGTATATATTCATTTCTATTTCAATCATTATATTTAAATAAAATGTGGGATATTAGTGATTTGAATGACGAAGTATCCCTATAAATAAAAACAGAATGTGCAGACCAAAAGTTTAATCGACTGATTTTTAAATATATTATTATAAAGGGTGTCCCAACAAAAACTTGAATTTTTAATGACAAAGAAAACACAGTAATTAACGAAAATTATACAAATATTTTATTGGATTTTCAAGAGAAAATATTGACATTAAACCTGAAACAAAATATCTGTCAAATGGCCACCGCGACTCCGTTGACAGGTGTATATTCGTTTGACGAAATTTTGGAAGACGTTTTCGAGCAAAATCGGCTGGATTTCACGAATATTACGTACGATTTCTTCCTTCAGTTGTCGAATCGTCTCAGGATGGTTCCTATATAGTCTACTTTTTAAATACCCCCAAAGGAAATAGTCTAAGAGCGTCAAATCGCAACTTCTCGGCGGCCAGTTTTGGTCTCCAAATCGTGAGATGACACGACCTGGGAAGTTTGTTTGCAGTAACGCCATTATTTCACGTGAGGTGTGGCGGGTCGCGTCGTCCTGTTGAAACCACAAGTTATTTATGTCCACTCCATTCATTTCCAGCCAAAGAAAGTCTCTTAGCATGCTATGGTAGCGATTACCATTTACAGACATCTTCATTACTTTGAAAAAAATAAAGTTTGATGATCCCTCCTGCCCAAATAGCGTACCAAACTGTCACTTTTTCAGGATACATTGGAAGCTCGTGCACGGCATGTGGACGCTCTTCCCACCAAATCCAACAGTTCTGTTTATTCATAAAGCCGTTCAAATGGAAGTGCGCTAAAGATAATTTCGTTGTGGAATGCATCGTCAACTCCGTGTTGTTCCAATATCTCAATTCGCAAAGTTTCTGCGCTGTCTTTCAATGCAAATGTCCGCTCAAATTTGTTGATCAAATTTTCAATAGCGGGTCGCGACGGACGATTATGTACACCGAAATGTTCACGTAACCTGCGCATTGTCACTATAAAATTTCCTCCATTTCTGTAATGGGTCTTCACAATTAATAAACGTTCTTCAAGAGTGTAACGCGGCATTTTCGTTAATGTCAATGTCTTGACAGAACACATGCCTGATATGGCCCACTTGATGTTTGACAGATGGAAATGGTATGCGATTTAAAATTCAAGTTCTTATTGGGACACCCTTTATTATATAGTATTTAAAAATTAAATTTTCAGTAAATCTGAAGATAAAAGTCTAAATCAGGTCTTACTATTCAAAATTAATAAATTTATTATTTTAAATAAAAATTAATCAATTAAAACAACCTCTTTTTTTTCATCTCAAAGGTGCCGTTTATTCTCGAATGTTCAACCTTAAGGTAACATTTGGGAAGGCGAGACCAAGTAAATTGACAAGCGACAGACAGCATGCAGCAAATACTGCCGTGTTAAAAGTGTTGTCGTCGGTCGCGCTATCCCAAATATTTTTCATATAATTACATATGTTCAGACGTGAAGAGACCGTTTTCGGTCTCCTTTGCTGTCGTTTTATGTCTGTCGCTTTGGTCGGTCTCGCCTTTCCAAAGGGTACCTTTAGGATTTACAACGTTGTTGAATATACAAATTGTATGAACCAAATTATACATTTTTAGGACGCAGGTATTTAATATGGTGACTGTTAATAAATTATTTTTTCAATTCCTATTCTTTATACTTGATTTCTGTTTTTAGGACTTAATTGTACACCACCAGCTATAGACGATTTTCCTAGGGATTTTTTTACAGAACAACAAAGGCAAGGTGGAGCCGTGATTGTTCATATAGTCGTATCTCTTTACCTCTTTGTGGCTTTGGCTGTAGTCTGTGATAAATATTTTGTACCGGCAGTGGAAAAAATATGTCATGGTAAGTTTTACTTTTTTCTTTGGTATTCTTCAGATGTTCTATTTCCGGAAATAAAATATTTTTTTTTATATTTTCATCAATAGTAGCTGTAAAGTTGTAAAGGAATGTTTGGTAGATCAAGACAATTTTGACATAAAATGACATCTTAAGATTGAATACTATACATATAACTGGTAACGTTCGAAAAGTTCATTATGTCACCAGTTGTGAAAAGAAAAAAATAACTATAAACCTTTTTTTGGTTTTAAAATCAATAAACATCTCTGACAAAGTTCTACAACTTCGTTTTCTTAAGAGATACAAAAAAAACTTACTTATAATCTCTATTTTAAAAATTATTTTTCGAATTCTGACATGTAAAGTGACTTTTTTAAATCGCAGTGTCAAAATGATCTACTTTATGTAAATAATTTATGTAACTCGTTACGAAGAGTTCATTATGTCGCCAGTTGCGAAATTAAATAAATCTTTCTTGGTTTTAAAATAAATATATCAGCACCTCAGAGGTAAGGTGCGTTAAGTCACCAAATCTACATTTGTCAGGAATTTACTAAATATTGGGGTTTTTGCAAAAGTCAATTGTTTGGTCAATTTATTTCGATTCTTTGTTTAGATTTTTTTACTTTGTTCTTGAATTTTGAATTATTAACACCAAATTTGCAATACTTGATTTGCAACTTACCGAGTGTTCCGTCTCCTTTTGGCGAAATTATGCAACTAGGGAGTTAAATCTGTTTTCCACTAGATAGAAATTGGTATGGTGAATCCCCAAGTGGAGAAAACTCCTCTCTGATAAATGTGACCTAACACACCTTACCTCTGAGGTGCTGATATACATTGTTATATCGAAGGAAGGTTGGCTATATAAAAATAAAATCCTGTGCTGAGGAAATGCGTAGTTGTTAAGTTATTAAGGATTTATTTTTTAAATTTGATGTCAACTACTAATGTTATTGGCCTACTGTTCTGTGTTTGTTACTATTTCACAGCGCCACTTTAGGAACAGCACTGTTAATTAGAATCCAACAGAGAATGGCCGAGTGGGGAAGCCTACCTATTCATTACAATTAATATTTAATTTAGTAAATAAAATAAAATAAAAATCTCTGCGAGATTCGTACCTGAGACCCTTCGATCTCAAAGTCATGACTCTAACCACTGAGGATTTAATTTAGCTTTAGTTTAGCCAAAATCAGTTATGGAGAAACTGTTGACATGTAAACGCTTGTCATTGTAACGACTAAGCGAAAACCAAATCCTGTGGTGAGGAAATGCGTTGTTGTCAAGTTGTAAATGAACTAATTTCACTTTAGTTTAGTTAAAATCAGCTATAAATAAACAGTTTCCATGGGATCGCTTGTAATTGTAACGACTAAACAAAAACCCAAAATCCTGTGGTGAGGAAATGTGTAGTTAACGTAATATTTTTGAATTATAGCTCCAATAGATATTAATCTTTTATACAAGAAAAATCATAAGTCATAGAGTCTGGAACGACCCGTATAGGAGGCCCCACCCTGTATGTTCTACACATGGCTTTACATTCGTTTTAATGCAGCTGGGGTATTAACAATTATGATTTTATTATGTTTGTCCATTACTTTGGTCTTGAACCAATAGATCCAGTCCTTTGGAGTACATACATGGGGCCGTGTAACCTACTCGTACAGGTCCTTTCGTAAGAGATACACGTGGCCGACACAATCATCGACTGCATCATGTAATATACACGGAGATTATAATTGTTTTTATATTACTAAGAAGTAATAATTACTATTATTTGCCTGTAATAAGCATTATAACAACAAAGTATAAGCACTGGCCTATTATGTAATTAGTTGTTATATTTAGGATGATATATCTCGAAACGGACAAGTAATTCAGATAAGGGGTAATGAAAACAAATAATGTTCTCCTTAAATTTTTTTTTAAATAGTATATAATTTATCTTTATTGTCCATTGTCCTTTACAATTCTGATTAGATTATATGCTCTTTTTTCTCTGCCTTCTCTGCTTCCTCGTTCTCTTAGTGTTACCATATCCTAAGCTTCTGGCCAGATTCCTGCATCTCTATTATATTTCCTTTCCAATGTACTTGGAGTTATTGCTACTGTGCATCTTTCATTTTTCATGGATGAACTTTAAACTTTTGACTAGAGTATTTTATTTCCTACAATACATAGAATAATATTACTGTATTTTTATATTTATGTATTATACTCCGACCTTTTTTTTTGTAGCTGTTCATTTTTTTTTGAATAAACATAATATAAACATTTTACAAATTTCCATAGTTACAACTATCCAACTACTTGATTCTGGTCCAAAAAAGACCAATAGCTTTCCCAAGGAATTCGTCTCCATCTCAATATATTGATTTTTTTTTGCAAATATTCATACGTTAAATCTTTAACAATTTTATATGTTTATGTTTCTAGCCCTGAACATGACAGCAGATGTAGCGGGTGCTACTTTTATGGCGGCCGCCACATCAGCGCCTGAACTCTTCGTGAACGTTATCGGAACATTCATTACTGAGGGAGATATTGGCGTTGGTACTATAGTTGGCTCAGCAGTGTTTAATATATTGGCAGTAGCGGCATGCTGTGGTATCGGAGCTGGCATGGTAAGTACTAGATAATACAATAAATAAGAGAAATAATTCCAAACTAAAATGTGACCAAGAAATGGTAAAATAAAGAAAATCAGAATATCAAAGCCAGGTGTCTAAAATAATACGAGCGACCGTTTGCATTCGTAAAACAACTTGTTTTACCAATATTGAAACATGTATTAAATTATATCAAAAGAAACACAAGAGAACTAGAAATTTCTTTCTTGGACCGGTTTCGTACTTGCATTTGTAGGGCTTAGGCTGCAATTTACGATTCTAATTAATTTTATATGTGCAATAATATGAAGCATTTGTCAATTACAATAAAAAATAATTCATTAAGTTTTCCAATGAGGAATAGTCCTTCAAACCATTTTAAAAAGTTTTAATTTTTCATCTCACCATGATAACTGCATTAATTGCTTTTTGGAAGAAAATATAACCATGATTAAATCCATTTTCGTATCCAGCATGAATAAAGAAAAATATTGTAAAGTTAACATGTATATATTTCTTAGTTTTTTTCATCAACCTTTACGATTTATCGTATCATTTTGGAAAATCGTTTCGTCAATAAAAATAAATTGATACATGGTTGCTTCCTTTTATTTTAACATATTTTCTTAAATTTCTGCTTATTTTACATAAACATCAAGATAGAACCTAGTAATGGTTCATCTTTCTTCAATTTGAAACCAATTTGTAATATTAAGGTATGCAATGATGTGTGACATTCGACATCCATTGAACAACTATTTCATTTAGTTTCACCAACAATAAGAATCCAAAATTACATGTTCCTCAAATCATAAATTAATTTATATTTGTTTACGAAAAGTTTATTTATCTACATTTACTCGACTCGTACATGCTAGAAATAACATTTAGAATAACACTGGTATCCAGTATTCTTATGTTGATGACTTTCTTTATCCTAGGGCGATTTTTCACTGCTTGTGATATAGAAGAACTAACAGTAAATTAAATGAGGTTAAGTGCTGCTGCTACACACTGAAAGAAAATAATTAATTTGATGTTGATACATAATATTATTAATCTGTACTTACTTCTCTAATGGCTGCTAAAGGAAGCAGAGGACCATTATTATCACGTTCTTTCTCAATATAATCTATTAAAGAAGCAACTAGCTTAACTCCTTACAGTGACTATTGGTTTTGGAATTTTCAATAAAAAAAACACAATAAATGAACACCTCTATTAAATTCATAATAAATTTGTTCTTAAAAAAACAGTTTCTTAATAATTTCATTTCGAATACAAATATATTTATTTGTGGAAAATAAATCGAACGATGTTAAGCATGGTACGCTTGACAACATATGCTTTCAACATGAAATTCAATAAAAGTATTCTGTTAAAATGTATTCCTTTAATTATCAAATAAAATTTCATTAATTTCAATAGGTATAGTTACGTTTTTGTATTATTTGCAGAGCGGGGCAAAGATAGTTCCTCTAGATTGGTGGCCTCTAACCAGGGATTGTCTAGCCTATGGTATCACTGTGTCTATCCTTATTTGCATCATTCACGATGAAAGGGTGGAATGGTATGAAGCTCTTTGTCTCGTCTTACTATATACCGTCTACATTCTCATCATGTACTTCGACAAACCTATCCAAAATTGCGTAAGAGGTAAATAACTATTTTTTTAGTTTATTTATAATACTGAAATTAACATAAATATTAACAAAAAATTTAATGAATGCACAATATTTTTTTTATATCTCTCTTTGTACTTTTATTTTATTTTATAAACTAATTACTTATCTAAGACGTCCCTATTGGGCTGTCTTAATTGTTTCTATATGAAAGCATCACAAGTTGGCGTGACAATTTATTACACTGTTTTGCACTAGCACTACCGCTCACTGCACTAGCTCAAATGGCTTCTTCCTTTTGAGCCTTCTGTTGAGTGGGAGTGGAGTCGACCCTCATGTTTCGCAGAAACCTCTTTATTTTTTCTTCGTTTGTTGGCATCTTCAGGTCTCTATGACTTTAGGACTTTATTTTGGAAAACTTGTATCATGTTGATATTACTCTTGCTGACACATCCCCATAGCTGTATGCCATAAATCCAGATTGGTTTTAGGATTTGTTTATAAATCAGCAGTTTGTTGTACACTGACAATTTTGATTTTCCTCCTAGGAACCAAAACATTTTTTCAAGTTCAACGTCTTTACGCTTTTTTTATGTGCTCTTTCCATTTAAGTCTTACATCTAAGTTTATCCCTAGGTATTTGGCCGAATCGTGATGCGGAATAACGTCAATGTTTATTCTTATCTTTTTCTGTTCATTTGGTCGAATAGTAAAATCAACATGCACTTATTTAGTTTGATTTATTTTTATTTTCCACTTTTTTGTCCATCGATTGATTCTGTTGTAGGTTTCCTAAAGTTTTTCTGAGGTCTCTGTATTAGTTCCGCCAACTGCCAATATTGCAGTGTCATCCGCAAATGTTGCTATTTTAACACATTGTTGTTGAGGGATATCGCTGGCGTATAATAAGTAAAGAACCGGTCCTACCACACTGCCTTGTGGGACACCTGCTTTAATTTTTTTTCATTTTGGAGTATGCCTCGTCTTGCTTTTCTCTAAACATTCTTCCCGTTAGATATGATTGTAAAATGTCGACATATTGTCTAGGGAGTATTTTTTTAAGTTTCTGTATCAGGCCAGCGTGCCAAACCTTGTCAAATGCTTGTGCTACGTCAAGAAATATAGCTGAGCATATATATTTTTCTTCGCAAGTTTTTTCGATGATATCGGCTATCCTGTGTCCTGATTTTCCGGTTCTTGGATGCCTGGTTTCTCATAGTGAGAAATGTTATTTTTAATTAAAGCATTTCCTCCTCTTGCTGCATTTGATGGATGGATAGTGTGATAGAAGTAGTATCTTCTGAATATAATGTAGGGTAAATCGAGGATAGATGGCCCAGGTTTTGAAATTTTATGTTAACATTTGCATACGTTGAATTAGAATTGCTGTCAATTTTTATAACGAACCTTTATTGAGTTTAGGAACATGTCTTAAGTATTAAAATTCATAAAAAATTAAACTTTTAATTCGTAAAAGAAAATTAAAATAGTTAACAAAAACCATCTCCCCCACAGTGCTGAGGTGAGATGGTGCAACTGAAAAAAAATGATATTTTGGCCAAAATGTTACTTTGTTTTGCATACAACAACACCACAGTCATGGCAAAAGTTAACAAACTTGGAACAAGAATCATGGAACCATTTGGAGCAACGTAAGCAATTAACCCAGTCGTCATTTTTTGTGGTTTGGGAGTACGTTTCACCACATCCTGTGCAAGACTCGTCAGCATCGTCCATATAATCTGAACGAGCATCCGAAGAGTCATCCAATGTCGGTGCTTCTAGATCTTCGTCTGAAGATGAGTCTCGTTTGGAAGCTTTCTTAGTTTTGTTTTTGGTCACTTTTGATTTCTTAAAAACTGGTTCTGATTTACTGGTCTTTTTTTCTTTCTGTGTTTTCTTAGTCGCCTTCTCCTTTTTTTCGCCAATTGTTGCCTCTGTGGTTAAAATTGCTGCCAGCTGCTTGCTCCTGGCTCGAACCGAATTAACGGCAACAGAAACAACCGGAACAGGTGAGATTATATCCAGTATTTTTCCAGGGGTACATTTCACAGGAGTATTTGCATTAGTTTCTGCAGGCGATTTATTTTGTTTTTCTGGTACAGTTTCACCTACAGTCTGCCAACTGCAGCCAGGTTGTTGATTGTCATCAGCTAAAGCTTTGTTGAAACTTTGAGAACTGCCATCAGGATTTTCTTTATTTTCAACTGCATCAGAGACCTCAAGTATGATACTATTTTCAGTCAAATAAGCGTCATCTGGGATAGCAGAAGGGTTAAATGGCACAATTCCGGTAGCCTTAAATGCCGAAGTTCCATTATTTACAGTTGCAGATTTATTCCATCCTTCAGCAAGTAATTTTCCAAATTGTAATCTGGTGATCTTTCGTCCTGGGTTATTTTTAATGTATAAATTGCAAGCTGAGTAGTAGTTTAATTTAAACGATCTGAAAAAACATCTATCTAACGGTTGTAAAAATTGTGTCGTATGACTCGGTAAGCATAACAATATGATGTTGTGGTCAACACAGTATTCTAGCATTTCAATGTTACTACAGTGTGAAGAATGACCATCAAGCAGTAACAAAACTGCACCAGTCGGCTTTCTGGGAACAAACTGATCTCTAAGCCACTGAAAAAATATGTCACTGTTGACATAGGCTTATTTTACCGACATGTAGACCAAGGATCCTGGGGGCATCCCATCCTCAAACTCCTGTTTTTTATTTTTGCCTTTCATTACGCAGGTAGGGGGAATAAAAACGTCTTCTGCGTTACAACAGGTTATAACCGTGATGGTTTCTCCCTTTTCACCGGAGCTGATACTTGCGATATTTTTAGATCCTTTCTGAACAATGACATGCCCTGGCCTATTATTAAGCTGTAAACCAGTCTCGTCCATATTATAAATATGTCCAGGTTTATTTATGAGATCGTTTTCGGCCAGAATATTTCCTAGCAGCTGAAAATAATCCTCAACATCTTTTTTGTTCATACCCAAGGATCGATTAATAGAGACCCCTTCTGCTTTTCTCACTGACAGCCTTGGGTTTCTCTGCAGAAATAACTTGAGCCATGGAAAACCAGCTAATCTCGATTCCTTATTAAAACGATGTTTAATGCCCAGCTGTTCGGCCAATTTAAAAGCCATACTTCGCACGTCGGTTCGAGTAGGAGCAAAACCGTGTTTTTGAAGTTTTAGGATATGTTGGACCAACTTTGACTCAGCTGCTTCGCCTAATGTGGAGGAGGGTCCAAGAGGACCTTTCTTTACATTTTTTCTCAATTTTCTTCTTCGTAGAGTGGTTGCCGGTACCCCCAAAATTTCGAGCAGCATCATTAACTCCCATTATATTTTTATTAATGGCTTCAATGGCTGCGGCTAACTGTTGTTCGGTCCAACTAGCTCTGGAACAACTTCCAGTGCGCTTGTATTTTGTTGGCATACTGAAAAGAAAAATAAATATTAATAAGCCATCTCACCTCAAAAATATGTGAACCATCTATCCTCATTGTGAGAGGAGAGATGGCGCACCTCACAAACCAAACACGTTTTGAAAAATGCGGAATTTTAAGGTTATACAACAAAACTAGAATGTTTTTACTTACTTGAGACGATAACGTGACTAAAATTATTATTAAATTTAAAGTTCACTAGCGCTAAGAAGGAAATGGGAAAAATAGTTTTGTTCCCACCGGATCACGTATAAAACTATATTCAAATAGGCATTTAACTGGTGAACACAAACGGTGCGGCGGCTTGTTTACTATGAACTGAAGTACATCAGAGCGCATCCGCTCATCTTTAACACTAGCGGTGGCGCTGCAAAACCATTGCGCCATCTCACCTTCTGCGCCATCTATCCTCGATTTACCCTATGATATATATAATTCAATGCATTTATTAGTATTTTTTACCAATTTACTTTCTAATGGGGCCCTATACGCTCCGATATGGCCTGCAGGCCAAAACGCACAGTTATGATCTAAAGGCAAGATTTAATCAGCTCAATTCACTCTTTATCTTCACATTAGACAAAGGAGAACAAAAGAGCAGAGGCCAGATGTAAGTCAGATCGAGCATTTCACGTTGAGTTATAGACTGAATCGATGGGCTGTACAGTTCAAATATCACAAAAATCGTAGCGTGTAGGGCCTCCATAATACTGATGCATGCTATACATTTTAATTTTTTGTTTATAATATTGTCATTCTGTTATAAGAAAATTGTAAACAATTAATGACTAACAAAAACATGCACAAATCACTATTTTTACAGCTATAATGATTAACATTGGTATATTATAGGAAATCATTTGTTTCTGATTCCAAGTCAATAATACCTACTTGGTTTAAAAATTGTAGAATGTGTCATATAAAACTTTTTTTTTAATTAACTTTTTGGTCGAAGCAGAAATATAAAATATCAAAATAATACTTAGTTTTTATCTAAAATAAATTTGTTTGTAATTATAGCTAAAATTATCAATTTATTGATCTGTCACTAACAGGCATGAGTAAAAGAGAAATGGGACTACAAAATGAGGAGATCATTGATCCGAACACTTTCATTCATTAAAGGTCGTTATTTTATAAGCCAGGCAGCAGACTGACGTCATTATGACATCTTATTTTCGTCATACAGGACGTCATTTATCCTCTGAAAACTAACGTGATAATGACGGTAAAATAACGTGAATATGTCACAGCCTAAATGACGTCATATTTAGACGCCCTTTTCACGTCTAAATATGACGTGTTTATAACGTTGTTTTAATGTCACCTTTGTCGTTATTCTTTATACTTATTTAAGACGTCACCATGACGTTACATTTGATATTGTTACTCCTTTGTAACTTTTTATAGGAAATTAGAAAATGAAATAATTATAATTAAAAAGAAAAAGTTTAAATACATGAAATTTTATTGGCAAAAAACATTAATTTATATAAATCCAACAGCTCCAAATGTGGCCAACTTGTTCGTTATTATTTTCATTTGGCACAATTATTTTTCTGAGTGCCGCCATTTTATACTATTTCACGAACCTGGGAACATTTTAGGAAACATCCTCTGAATGTAAAAGATATAAAATCATTAAAGAAATATAATATACATATAAAAATACCTTATGCTAGGTTGATACTGATATAACTTTTTTCACTGACCCTCTTAACTTTTAACAACAACCCTGAATGTACACGGGCCACGATCCACGATGCACACACCATTACACATGGCCGATGCAACAATCTGCGATACCGTTCTCGTGCTTGCTCGAACGGCTCGAACACACACGAGCCGTACTCTACAGACCGATAACCATAGACAGACGCAGTCATGTGTCACGTGGTGTCATCAGTCTTTATGCATTTAAGCGCCAGATTTAAACGTTAATAGAACAGTTTTAAAAAATAATTGTTTAGGCCATATTATTTTACATAAATAAAATGTATTTAAATCACGTTTAATATAAACCATAATTTAATAGTGACAATAAATTGACGTCACATTGACGTCTAATTTGTCACGTCAAAAAGACGTTAAATGACGTCATAATCACCTCATTACTTGGTAACATGACGTCGATGACCAAGAATTACCAAAAAATGTCGTGAAAATGTCGTCAGTCTGCTGCCTAGGAAGGTGACCAAATGAGAAAGCATAATAGGCACATCCAGTTTTAACCACATGAGAATGCAAAATAAATAAGATATTAATCCGGAACTTAGACAATTTCTCAGTAGAAATAGAATGAGTATTGACCTCCTTAATTTGTTATTCCATTTCTTCTTGTCGATCTGTATCAAAACATGTTTTTATTGCACTGTAATTTCCATCTAACAGGGAGATTGAGGTTAGCACAACTCAGTATTTCACGTCGTAGTTCCAAAAACACGACAGATAACGTCGGTAAGATTTGCAATCAACACAATTTTCACAAATTTGTTAAAATATATTTTATTTTCTTAGAAATTGCTGAAACAAAGTTACATATTAAGCTGCCCGAAGGTGGAGATAATAAGATGGACTTCGGAAATGATAAAAAAGAAAAAATAGATGATATAGAGGCTAAAAATAATATGTCTAATTGTGACCAAGGCGTTTTCGTTATAAATTCGTCGACGCACATAAACGGGTCACTAAAACTTCCAATGGCATTGGAGGAAAAACATAGTGCAGCTATTAGTATAGCGAAAGAGGAAAATGGCGAAGAAGTAAAAGAAAAAAACGGTCGGCATTCATTGTGGAAGTGGCCTGGAAAAAGTGGAAAATTAGCACAGGTAAGATTTATATGTTTATTACTGAACAAATTATATGGGCGCATCAATTACATAGATATATTTAATAAACAGCTAATTTACGTACCATAATTCTATTACACAAAACACAATAGATACTGTATTGTTGGTGTTGATGACGATGCTAGGCCCCGCTTCAAGTAGCTCGGATCATGTCCGTTAGCGATTATTCACGAATAAGTTTGTTTGCCGAACGGTTAACCCAAGTCGTTTAGAATTTAGAGTCAAACAATAGATGGTTTTTGGATTTTTAGTTAAAAAAATTATTCAAAAAAATGCAGGTATGACCTAAAATTATCTGAGGTACTTCGCAAGGAGGATTATTTTATAGGTAAGGATGGGTGGAAGTTTGTGTGCACTGAATTATATTTATCTTACGAGGTGCTTCATTGTGAACTTTATACAATGTTTTTTGTAGATTTTGAATCATTTACTGAAGACAACTTTACATTTACAATTATTTTACAGACAACATGGATTATAACGTGGCCAATATATTTAGTATTCCTCTTTACAATACCAGATTGTGAAAAGAAGAGATTTAAAAGATGGTTTCCACTTACTTTCGTCATGTGCATCGTTTGGATAGGATCGTTATCTTATGTAGTAGCCTGGATGATTACAATAATAGGTACTTAATTATAATTTTGGTCAAATTGAAAAATTATCATTTGAAATTTTAGGTGATACATTGAAAATTCCTGATTCAGTAATGGGAATCACATTCTTGGCAGCCGGGACAAGTGTACCAGAAGCAGTTTCAAGTGTAATTGTTGCAAAGCAAGGTAAATATTATAAATATAGGATTAATTCGTGTATTGCCAGCATTCTGTTAATCGTAAAATAAGCTAAGTACAGCACTGAATTAAATTACAGACATGCGTTATATTTTATTATTTTAAAAAACATCTTTAAGGATGAGAGGTGGCTACAGACAAAAACAAAAACGTTAGATCTAGCCATAAAGCCATGTACTCCATTTTGACATGTATACAGAAAAAAATACCCGTTAAAAATACAATATGTGCCATTCCAACGACCTGTCAAACAATAGCTGTCAAAAGGCAGGTTTGCGACATAGTCCCAGACAACACACCAAATCCCAGAGATATCCACAGAATATCTTTTGTGGATATCCAATATATCCACAGGATATCAGAAATATTCCGTGGATCTAATATGGATATCCAAATGTCCGTCTATATCCAGAATATAGAAGATATCCTAATGGATATCCAGCAAAATATCTAATGGGTATCTTCCAGAAAATACAAGAAATCCCAGAGATATCCACAGAATATATTTTGTGGATATTCAATATATCCAATATGGATATCCAACCAAATGTCCGTCTATATCCCAGGATATAGAAGATATTCGGATATTCAGCAACATATTTTATCTTTAGTAGAGGTTCATAAGTAACCAATGATTATTGAATAACGTCGAAAGAAAATAGCAGAGAAAAAATATTTTCAACACTCAAAATATTTTCAACACTCTGCCTTTGATTTTGCCCACTAAGGAGAAAGTCATCCTTATTAGGACTCTTCAGCAATAAATGGAAATTCTCGACTCCAGTCTCTAATGGAGTCTGATTAGAACAAAAATTTCGATCGAACTCAATTACGGCGGGTCGAGCATGAATAGATGCGAAAGTAGTATCGCCATCTATACTTAGTAAGCAAAATCAAATAACATCTAGTGGATATCCACGATGGTTTGCGTTCGCGCCTAGACTTTGATATATTTAGTGGATGTGCATGGGATATTGAATACACCTTAAAAAAATTAATTTTAAATATCTGAACTGTACTATTAGCCACAATGGCGAGCACAATGGCATAATTTTTTAATAATTTGCTATATAATTACTATTATTTATGGACATTTGCATGTCTATAAATTACATATCATGGATATAAAATAGATATCCACCATGGACTGGACATTCAGTGGATATTGGAATGTGCAGTAGATATCCAAAGGATTTGGTGTGCTGTCTGGGGGTCTTCCGTCTTGGAAGCTATTTTTATTTGAAATAGTAGTCGTCAAGCCTGCTAATTTAAGAAAAATGTATAAACTTTTTTAAATGATATTTTCATGGCGTTTGACACAAAATAGGCAGTTTTTTAATTTAATCCATTTTTCATGATTTCACGTATTGTAGATAGAATACATCGTAACATCTTATGTTACAACCCCTTATACCAACTCTTCCATTCGGCAGCAATTCTGTTAGGAATAACTAATATACGGTCTCATTTTTCTTGCATTAGATCTCATCATACAAAAATAAGCAGCAAATTACATCTTTGGTCATAAACGAATTTAGAGGCGTGGCCATAGATACGTCACAAACCGCAGCAGTTAAATTTTACAAATATTTTATTACATTCCATCAGAGAATCTCTGACAACTCATTTTTGCCGCAGTTGGAAAAACGCAGTTTTAAACAAACACAATAGTTTCCGTGATTTTAATTTCATAACAACTCGTAACAAAAAAAAATAACTTTTAACAATTCCCAATCAATAAATGAATATGTGAGAAACAACCTTCAGTTCTCGAGAACATCATTTAAAACGTAAAATTTTTTTTTAAGTTTGGTTTCTTATAAATTAAGAACTATTTGTATGCAATAATGGCAAAAAATAAAACTTAAGAAGGGACCAAATAAATTTATTCAATTTTTTTACAAATTTAAAAAAAGTAATTTGGGTACAATCAATAAATAAAATAAAAATTTTTTAAAACATCGATGTTGACATCAAATGATACATCGAATATAGACTATCGATGTTGTAAAAAAATCGGAAAAAAATATCGATTTTTCTAAATATCGATGTGTGTTTTCCCATACATCAATGTGTCTATAAACATCGATGTTTTCCAAAATTGTTCAATGAAGAGCAAAAAAAAAACAGGAAAAAGGAATTCAAACCATCAAATGAAACGTGACCGCTTAACAAAAAATCATGATTCCTATACTTTCCTTATATCTGTATACAGATAGGAAAGTAAAAACCAAAAAACATTGAAAAGAAAATCATCGATGTTAATTAAAAAATCGATGTTAGCAAATAACATCGGATGAAAAAAACTCGATGGTAACTAATAACATCGGATTAAAAAGTATCGATGTTGAACATCGATAATCGAAACCTAAAAATCGATGTTTTTTAAACATCGACACATCGTGCGCATCCCTACCCTGTTTCTCTAAGGGCCGATTCCACCGTTGTGTTAAACGGAGATTAAAATGACATTGTTAATTGTAAAAATTTTAAACTTCGTTTAACAAAACGGTGGAATCGGTCCTAAACCAGGCAGCTACCCTGGAAATTGTTGATTGTGGAACATCAAAAGCATTTGCAATGTAACGTTAACTACGTCCTTCTTCAAGTAATGTAATGATTCTAATCACTTCATGTCTCAAATTTCTTCTCTGGCGGTCAGGATTATTCATTTCAATAATTTTCAAAATGAAATACCACAAAAACCAAGTTAACTTTATTTACTAAATATTGAAAGCAACTAATCGCGAAAGTTGGTTTCAATTTTAAAGTATTAGTATTTATTTTAAAAAAACATTTACACATAAAAAAACTTATCCTTTTTTAACCGACTTCAAAAAAGGAGGAGGTTCTCAATTCGTCGCGATATTTTTTTTCATGTATGTTCAGCGATTATTCATTAAGACGGTGTCCGATTTCAATGATTCTTTTTTTGTTAGAAAGGGGGTACTTCAGGGGTAGTCCCATATAAATTTGGTCAAAATCTAATAATTGGGTCCATGACAAAATCCTCCTAATCTTCATTTTTTATGTATGTTTATCGATAATGCTACCACCTTCTCCGATTCATATGATTCTTTTTTTGTTAGTAAGAGGGTACCTCAGGGGTGGTTCCATATAAATTTGGTTAAGATGTGGTGACGGCATCTGCACGTTTTTGAAGTCGGTTTTTTAAATTTTTAATTTCTAATACTTGTTGCATATAAGTATTCAAAACTAATATATAGGGTGTCCCAATTCTTAAATATATCAAAAATCAAATAAAGAAAAACTTTTTGTCACTTTTAATAGTGATGCGCTAATTTTTGTGCAGAGTGTATATTAAACTACAAACTACAAAAGTAGCTGATAAGGCGTGTCCATATCTCAGATAATAATATACCTTTTCATCACATTTTTTTTGTGCGCATGCGTCAGTATCAGCCATATTTTTCGTACTGTTTTTTGTAAACAAGCATGTTAAAAAAATTATAATCGATAAATATTAATTTAAGCATATTCATTAAAAAAAAGGAAGAAAAATAGTGTCTTAATTGAAAAATAAATTTTTGCAGTCAATTATAATTTATTATGTTATCAGTACGAAAAGGAATAACGAAATAAAAGTAACAAATCGTATAAATCATTAAAAGGCAATAACATATTTTTTTTATAAATTTTTCAAAGCCTAAGCCTACAAAATCATTGGGCAAAATAAATATTAGAACATGTTCAAAACTTGCAAAATGTGCATTATGGGTGAAAAAAATGTCCAAATATTTCCCTTTGCCAATAGTTGGGTCGACAGGTATATTATTTTTGAGTACATTTTTACCCTGAAAAATAATTTATTTTTAATGTCTTATCTGATATTACACATTTTTTTTTTAATATTAAATACTACTTCGGTATAAACAGTGTTGTATCTGGTAATATGATTAAAAATGTTATCTTGATCCTTAAAATATTAAATAATTTATTTTAATAATTATACTAGTGATTAACTTTCACGTTAATTAAAGTGTTTTTGCAAGTACTAATAGTTGGTTGGCATAATTAATTAGAATAAGGAGTTATAATTATTATTTTATGTTTTCATAAATTTTTACACAGTAAACAAGTATTGATATATTTAACCTCTCAATCAACACACCTTTTTTCTTTTTTGCGAACGTCCATGACACTTCAACCACCTTTTCAATTGCTCACAACTAAGTGCTTCCACAGAGTTAGAAGCAAGTGAAGCGATTTTTTCTATTGATTGATTTATCGATAGAGATAATGTCTTTCCCAGCCATCATTGATCAAAACCGTACTAAACTTTTGAATTAACGCTAATTGAACTTGGCGGCTGCGCTTGCGCTTATCACATGATCAACATGCATGTTAATCAAAAAGAGGAACTTTATACCAGTAAAAAACTTGTCTTCTGCCAGTCATATTCGTAGTTTAATGTGTTTAACCTATACAATTCAGTGACAGTTCGATGGCAAACAGAGCAATTAATTAATTGATTGTGTGAAAAACGGAAAATTCGAATATGATATTCGATTTTTTTGTGATTTTCGATACGGTTTAACACCACAGACAAAAACTTATTTCGAAACTAATTTTGAAAATAACAATCTTAATGAAGGGGTGGGTGACTCAGTGACCGTTGGCCGGGATTTTTTATTTAATTTATTTATTTAAAATTAATTCTGATACCTTGGTAGGATTCCCCACTCGACCATTCACTGTTGGGTTCTAATTAACAGTGCTGTTCCTAAAGTGGCGCTGGGAAACAGTAATAAAGCCTACACAGAACACGAGGCTAATAACCTTAGTAGTTGATGCCGATGATACAAAATTAAAAAAGGGAAATTCCACTCTCCAGTTTTACATTTGATACTATTTTAACATACCAAAAATATCTCTTTACGTAATTTTTTTTTTTCGTTTGTGATATTTTTGTAGTTTGTTCTAATTATAACCAACTTTTTGTAAAAAAAATAAAATAAAATCGATATAATTCTATATGGTGACCGGAAAAAAGCGCAAAGGAAATAAGCGCACAGGAAATATGCGCACAGAAAAAAGCGCACAGACATATAAGCGCACAGGAAATAACCGCACGAGGAAATATGCGCACACGGAAAAAACTGCACACGGAAAAAAGCTCACGGGTATAAAAGCGCACATGGAAGAAAGCGCACATTGAAAAAAGCGCAAAGTGCATGTAGTTTATATTTATATTTTGTTACAATTTTTTGTTGTTTGATTAAAACTTTAATTATCGTTGTTTACAGTAGTTACCATAATTTTTGCTGATAATTCAGGAATCTACTCAGTTATTTATTCGGAAATATTATAAGTACGATACAAAGAATAGATCTGTACCTTGGTTTGTTATATTCCAGGTGAAAAATATTAGACAAGTTTAAAAAAATTCTTAAAATACTTTCACAATAAAGTTAATACGGTTTATAATATTTATATCTCCATTATGGATTGTTGAGGACAGACTAATTCCACCAAATCCGCCTTTAAAAAATTATAACGATCAGTTTCGCCGCGAGGAAATTATGCTGTATATTTTACTTATCTCATACAGTGTGTATCTTAATTAAAACGAAATATTTGCAAGTGGTCATTTATTTTTACTAGAGATTATAAAATTAAGATAGGTACTTATTATTTCATTTATTAGTTGCTTTTTTGTTAATAATTTTTAATTCAGGATAAATCCCATGCCGTCAATCTCTTTCTTTATAAGTTGCACACATTGCAGTTTCAAGTAACTTGTATACTTTCGTCTTTTAACAAGCAAAAGGCAACGGAAACAGACATTTCATTTGCATATGCATGGATGTTAAACAGTTTGGCAGCTCATTTTTCCCATTTAAGTTGGCGAAATTTACGAAATTTTTCGAAAATAATTAAAGGGTCACTAAACGGCATTTACAAGAATTGATAGTCGAACCGTTTTAAATAAAGACACGAATTAAACTCAAACTGTGCCTAATATTTTAACATTTAAAATCTTCTTAGAATAATGTTAGGTACTCATGGATTATATCATTAATATCTATTTATTATAGACCGTTACATTAATTAGATAAAAGTTTTGCAAATTTAACAATCTTCTTTGAATATTGTAAGGTAATTAGGGATTATATCATTAATATCTATTTATTATAGACTTTAACCTGAATTAAACTAAAAATTTTTCAATATTTAAGAATCTTCGTAGAATAACGTTAGGTTTTTGGAATTCTGTCATAATAACTTTATTTCATAATATTTTATAATAAATTACGCTTATAAGTAAGTTACTGCAGACTGGTTTTATTTTTGATTCGCGCTAATTTTAATATTCAGACAAGTGTACTATATTTTTTATTGATAAATAGAATTGGTTTTTGTTTCGAAATATTTTTGGAGTTCTATTATGATTTTTGATCATTGTTTTCATTTATAATGTTATAATCGTTAACGATTTGTAATAATTATATTTATGAAATTCCGGTTGTAATGATTTTGCATTTTTTGTAAAATGGCGAGTTTTATAGGTATCTACATATTTTATCTTTAAAACCTAAATATTTTTGCAATTCCATGTTGATTTTATTTTAATTTTATAATCGCCAACTATTTGTACTAATATATTCATGGATTTGTGTTTATATTTTTTTATATAATAATGTAGGTACAAACGAAAAATGCATATAGGTTTTTAGTGTAATATATTTTTATTCCATATTAATACATTAAAAACGAAAAAATGAATAAATTAACAAAAGATAAACGCACTTTGATAGACGTACTACTGTAAGTTGGCTATTCTCCTTAAGTAAGATACTTTGTTATCTGTTTCTTGATACTTTTCTACAGAACTGGCTACAAGCGCGTACAGTTGTCTGTATTTCTTTTTGGTGGGCTCCAGTCTGTTAGCTTGGGAGTTCACCAATGTAAGTTTGTGACATGCTAAATCTCTTCTCAATCCATCGAAAAGCATCCATATGCTCGGATGACTGCAATGAAATATGGAATTAAGGGCATTGTGAAACCCTTTACAACAATGCATCGTAGATGGATTTGGCAAGTGCTTCTCTGCTCGATAATTTCAAAGTGTTCTGGCAAGAGACGATTGTTTTGGAATATAAGCAAGTGCATCATTGCTTACTCCTGATAATATATCTCCAATAACATTGCGAGATGTAGCATTCACCGCTGTCATGGCTTCTCGCATTTGGCTTCTGGCGATATTTGCTTCTGCTTTTTGGGGACATGAATCATGACAATGACTGCCTGGATCTTGTACAATGTCCTTGTCCTTCGTTTTGATTAAGGAATGGCACTTAGTTTGTCGATTTTCACGGCACCTCCATGTATCTATCCCATTTGTTGTGCGAAAATGTATATATTCAAAACCATTGTAAATAAGAACTCGCTTGCCTTTTTGACTAGACGAAAACTCCATTTCGTTTATTACAAAAATTCAACTTAACTTGTTCAAGAATTAGAGCACAATAAATTAACTTTAAATTCCGTAGTCTATTTATAAGCGCCTTTACTTACCTGCCTTAATTCTGCAAATAATAAATTCCAAGAAATATAATAATGTCACAACGCCGAATAAATGAAATAATAAGTACCTATCTAAATTTTATAATCCCTAGTAAAAATAAATGACCACTTGCAAATAATCGATTATTAAAAAATAATTTAACAATCTCGGGGCGATCACTTCCGTCACAAGGCTGGTACCTGCTATAAGTTCCCATTCAATTACGGCATAATCGCGCTTCAAAGGGATTAAAATGCTAAGAAATATTTCTAGGAATAAAAATATTTGTAAGATTTTAGATATTCATTAGAATGATAAATACTGAAAATGCATAACTTTTACAAAAACATATTTAGATCAAATATTGTTCCTATAATCTAAAATTTTAAATTGTATAAAATGATTTTTTTTATTGTGGTACTTTTTAAATTTTTTGTAAACATTTTGTTGGGTTAATTTTAACATATAATATCTGTGATATAAGTCCGCATATTTGGTGGTTACTTTTCATACCGATATAATTTTTGATTATGTATTCATAGAACTTAATTTTTTTATTTTTATTCAGAGAATCTTCAGTTGTTCTGTATCCTATTCTTAACGAGATATAAACTGCATGTACTTTGCGCTTTTTTCAATGTGCGCTTTTTTCCATGTGCGCTTTTTTCCTTGTGCGCTTTTATACCCGTGCGGTTTTTTCCGTGTGCGGTTTTTTCCGTGTGCGCATCTTTCCACGTGCGCTTATTTCCTGTGCGTTTATATGTCTGTGCGCTTTTTTCTGTGCGGATATTTCCTGTGCGCTTATTTCCTTTGCGCTTTTTTCCGAGATTCATTCTATATAAAGGAACAAAGATATATTTTCAATAACATTTCAGAAAAGGAAAGACTGGTTGATCCAATATATATGTTGTTTACGTCTTGCCAGACATAATTTAAATACAGACTGATTCAATCAATAATTTTAACTAAAAATATTTATGTTAGTTGGTTTGCTTTATCAAATTTTGTGTAAATATTTTTTACAGGACACGGATCTATGGGTATCAGTAATTCCATAGGATCGAATACGTTTGATATCCTGCTTTGTTTAGGTCTTCCATGGTTTATTAAAGCTACTTTTATGCCGACTATAGCTGGAAAACATTGGGTAAGCTTGGAGTTTCTTTTTTTGTTTACAAAATACTTTATATTAATACTTACAAATATATAAACTGTTGTTATTAATTTTAGGTTGGAATTAATTCAGCTGGTATTGAATACAGTGCCATATCGTTACTCTCTACATTACTGATGCTATATGTAGCCTTTGCTTTGAACAAGTTTCAGTTGGACAAGACGGTTGGAAGAGTATGTCTTCTAATGTACGCCGTTTTCCTAATACTCGCAAGTTTAATAGAACTGAACGCCTTCTTCAGGGTGAATTTGCCTACCTGCGGACGATGAACGAAGAAAGTCATATTCAAAAGTGGTACTTTAAAAGTGTGTGCGTGTTTAAACAGTTAATTTGAACAATGTAAATTATTATAAATCTACGGATTTTCGTTTTACTGTCAGGTATTGTAAAAATAATGGTTCTGTGGCTAAACATTTCCAGACAAATTAGCGCTGAACAAATGAGCGCTGACAAAATAGCGCTGCGACAAAACAGCGCCAAGACATAATAGCGCCGTAACTTATCGATTTCGGGACATGTCGGATTCGACACAAAATAGCGCCGTACAATAAAGCGATTAAGAATAAATACAATTTGAATACATGAACTGAGACAGTAAAGTACCTGGTAGTATTACTTGCCTAATACCTGTTTTAATTAAAATTAAAATAACTTATTTCATTTACCTAACCTGTGCGGTCTGGAGCTATCAACGAGTCATCCAGATATTTGGCGTTATTCATTAAATTTAAAAACTACTAAAATATGTTTATTTTTAATCCAAAGGGAAAATCTTTTTTTGATAAAGACGTCTTTTAAATGTTAAATTGACACTATGTATATATTTTTCTTTGGCTATTATTGTTTACAATAAGAAGTTATAATTTCAAGGTAGGTGTGATGTTTTGTTTTATTTTATTAATTAATATAAATTTTTATGCTTTTTTTGTCTAGGCACAATTTTGACCGGCGCTCTTTTATCCGGCTTTATTTTGTCCAACACCATTTTGTAATGGTGTAGGCTGTTTTGTCGCCTCGTTGTTATGTCAACGCTAATTTTTTCGGCGCTGTTTTGCAACGGAGCCAATGCTATTTGATTTGCGGACTTTGCGTTCTGTATTATGGCTTTACAAATAGGTTCCTAGTTATTTAAATAACCCGTACATGAATTTTTCTATACGCACATCAAATTTGAAGTGATAATCTTTAAAATACGATTTGAAAAATGTCAATAAATAAATAAATAAGTGGGGTCCTATACTGTTAAATAGCGACATGTGTTAATAATGGAAGCCAATACTGTTTTTTAACCATTCATTAAAATTATAGTGATTTCGTAAATTAGTAAATAAATTTATTTTAAACTAAAATATCTATTTTTAAGAAAATTCTCGAAACAGGTCGATTTTTAATTTGTTACATAACGAGTTGAGAACACAAAATTCGGGCAGTTGGCGATTTCGGCTATTTTGCGAATAACATATATACAACTTTTTGTTCAAAAAGTGGCAAATTGAAATTAAATTCGACATGCTCTGGGAATTACTTTAAACATTTATATTTTTGTTAAAAATGAATTTAATCACTATCTACTTTACGAAAGTACTTTACTTTCCTTGGCGAATACTTTACTGGATATTAAACTAAAACCGTCCAGTCTTTTCTATAATTCATTAAGTTTTAGATAAAATCATACCAGATTGGTTAGGTTTAACAACGAGCACACTACTTCTTTTTTTTATTTTATTGCAGTTTGTTTAAACTGTTTTTAGTACTTTTGTAAAATATAATTATGACATAGATTTAGCTAAATATTAGATTGTCATGTAAGAAATAAGCCATTCAAAATACCTACTAAATTATTGCAAAAATATGAAAACATTGAGGCGTTCCTAAACTCATCTATAAAATCTGTAAAATAATTGCTAGAACAGTTGTACTGTGAGAAAAACAAATGTTTTAGTGGACAGAAATACTAAGTAAAAAACTATTTATAATAAAACTAACCATTATCCTGTTACTTGTTAATTCAGCGTACCTAACAAACATTTTGTTTTAGCAAGTTAACGGCCTTTAAAAGTAGTGGACTTTCGATGGGGTCTGCACGATTGGTAAATCGTCTTTTTGTCACAAAGGGCGGCAGAAGGCCGTCGTCACTTTACCAGCAATTAGTAGTGAAAGGCCTACATACACACTATATTCATAAAATATTCCAAATTGATAACTTTTAAAAGAAAGAAATATCAATGTATACTGATTAGTAATAGTGAATATCAGCAATGCGAGACTGGCCGTATAGTATATGTCAACTCGTTGAGTATGTGGCAAGGGATCATCGGTGTCTCCATATATGAACGCGGGATATGGAGCCCTCCTGGTCTGTTGTGGTTAGGTCTGCGGCAGTTAAAAGCGGTTAAAAAGCCGTCAACGGCCGATCGAATAATTTAAAGTTAAAAGGCGGTTAATTTCAAATGGACCATAACGATGTTACAGTTGAATGTGGGAAACAGTTAACAAACCATCAACGGTTCATCGAAAGATTGAAGTTAATGGGCAGTTAATAACAAATTTCAAAAGGGCCATAACGAGTTTACCGTTACAAGTTACTTTGCCATCACATTCGTTAAAGGGCCAACAACGTGCCACAATTTCAATGTTTGTTGGGTAGGTATATCAAGAGTTATCATTTTTTTAAATACAAGGTCTACATCAATAAACTGACACATTTTAAAAACTTTGCTGTTGCCACATGTAATTTTGTTCTGAATATAAGTACCGAAAAAAAGTTATCGAATTATAAGTTCTTAAAATGTGTCAATTTATAATACCTTGTATTTATTAACTGGCAGTATTGTAATTAGGGTACTGTTAATATCCGATAATTTTACTTCATTTATTTTTTAGAAACAATTCAATTGTACATAATTATTTTTGTTTTAAAATATAAAATGTGTATGTTATTAGTTTAGAATATTAATTCCATGATTTTATTAAAAACATTTTTTGTGTAAATTAATATTTAGATAGGTATGTATTTATTTTTGAACAATAAAAAATAAAATTGTGAAAAAATAATAATTTGTTGTCAATTAAAAATATTTTGATACAGTGGATTTTTCTGGTAAAGCAATCAGGATTAGAAATAAAAAGTAAGGTAAGGTAAGGTAAGGTAAGGTAAGGTAAGGTAAGGTAAGGTGGGGTAAGTGTGACCCCGATTTTTAACTCGTGAAATTTAAAAAATGAGTCTTTATTGTGAAATAAGCCTGAATGCGAATTAATACTCAATAAGTGTTTTGGGCTTTCTTTGACGACTTACCTTTATAGTACACCACAAAAATCAAAAATAAATTACATCAGATTTACATGCGTACATACGTAAATGCGGCCTTAGGTCGCACTTTCCCAGCAATTTGGGCAAGTGTGATTTACTCTAAATATGTACCTACTTAAAGATTTATTTAGGAAAAAAATTTAAAATTATATAGTCCAATTAAGTTCTTGGACAGTGGCGTAAAATTTAGAAAGAATATATAGGTGTTATACTTATATACCAGTGGCATGCGGTGACATTTTTTGAAGGGAAAGCGATTGTATAAAAATACAGCAGGGCAGTAAGCACAGCGCCGCAGGCGAAAATTTTTCGCGGCGCATTCACCATTTTGTCAAAATCTTGCTTTTTTTCCTCAGTACTACGGATATTCGAGATTGAGACGTGAAGTGTTACTATTACTTTATTACCAGTTTAGTACTAGAAGCTATAAAAAACATACCATTGAAAAGCTTCCTTGGTTTATTTAAACGTAAAAAAAACATTTGCCTGTAGTTTTTTTTATTTTTTCCAGCATTTTTCGCACAGTTGACACAGAGAGTATGTCTTCACTTGTTGAGTTTTCTATAAAACTTTTATTGCGCTTTAAAGCTGAAAAACTTCGCTCAACTGACGCATTTGTGGCTGGGATGGTTAGTACAAATTCACACAACTTGACAACTTCACAGAGGGACTTATTTAAATCAGTTGTTATAAGAAAATTTAACACATTGGTGGGCGTCTTTTTATCACTAATTTTAGTTGTTTCATAAACAACACTTGACTGGGACTTTAATGCTGGAATATCGAAAAAATTCCGATGGAAATTTTGATAAATCGTAGTTACTAATATTAAAATTGCACAATTCAACAAATTTCATTTGTTGTAAAATATTATCAAAAATTTCTGCGTATAATCGACGATAGGAGGGGTCTCTGTCGCCGACATTATCAATTCTAATTCTCTTTCTTTCAGGTTCTAAGCCAATGTTTTGAGTCTTATTCCAAAAGTTTTCAAACTTATCTCGTTTTTTATTCATTTTATTATTAAAATCATCAATTTGTTTAATGCAAATGCCAATGTCATTTGACTTTGTCTGTAAAATGTCGAATAAAATGTCAGTAAAAGAGAAAATCTCTGCAAAAATGTTGAACAAAAAATTTAAATCAAAGTTTTGTTTGAGTCAATGCAAATACCCTTTAGCAGCAGTAGCAGTTTCAGCATCCCATGTTTCTTTATTATCCAAACGTCTTGAAAAAAGTTTATCAAAGAATCACGGAATTGAAACACTGTTTGCACTAAACGTCCATTGTAGTTCCATCGCGTCGGAGCAACTTTTGGAAACCTTCTTTGAACGTGAATGTCCAAAGCGCGAGTTCTTTTCGATGACTTTATAAAGAGGGAAGCCAAACCACTAAGCGTAGAAAAGAAAACTTTGCAATCTTTAATATTATCCACACTTCGCGATAAAACCAAATTAAGTCTATGTGCTATACAGTGAACGAAAATTGCATGATTAAACTTCTGTTTCACTTTAGCTTGAAGGCCTCCTAAATGGCCAGCCATTACGGCAGCACCAACATAGCTCTGGGCAACAAGCTTAGAACCACGCATTCTAAACTTGAAATAATGTCACAAACAATTTTAAACAATGCATCTGCAGTTCGTTCGCTAGTGACGTCCAAAAATTCTAAGAATCGCTCTTGAGGAATGCTATCCAATACATATCGCACAACAATGGATAATTGACTTAAGTTTGCTACATCTGTGGTTTCATCAAGCGCAATTGAAACGAAAGGTGCTTTCATAATTTCACTTTTAATGTGATCCATCACAACGTCGGCAGTGTATTTAATTAAATCATTTTGGATTCTGTTTGAGGTACCTCGGAAAGTCGTCGAATAAATAAAATGATTTTTCCTACGACCACTTAGGAAAGTGACACATCACACTATATAGACCTATGGAAAGTGCCCTATATCACACGCGTATGAATAAGAATTTACTTTCCACCCAAGTGAGAATATGCTACTTTCCGCAGTAGCTGTCAGAAAATGTCAAACACATAATTTCTATTTTGATCTATGTAATGTCCATATTAATACTAAAATCGATATGATTGTTAAATTATTGTAAATTAGATCCTAGATATTTATCTTTAACAATTATTTTTAAAATAATTTTAAAATAACTAAGATATATTTGCTTTTTATTCTGGTTAAACACATAAGCGATTAGATCAATCAATTACCGTAAGGCCTGTTAGCTCAGTTGGTTAGAGCATCAACTTTGCAATTTGAGACCGTCCAACGACCGCGATCGAATCGTGGCTGTGCCAGAATTTTTTTTTATTTTTTTTTTTATTTTTTTTTATTTGTTTAGAAATTATGAAAATTTAATAAATACGATTATTGTTGATTATTTTTTTAAATACATTTTAATTATTATAATAATCAGGTTTTACATTTTTTGATGAAATTATTTTGTGGTCGTAGGAAAAATATTGTACATCACTTGTGTGAAAAGTGATTTTCCACACTCGTGTGATAGTCGCCCTCGGCTTACGCCTCGTGCGACAATATTTCCCACTCGTGTGAAAAATGTCACTTTCCACACTCGTAATGTAATATACTATTTTAGGGTATCATCGTATTTTGCTAAAAAACTTAGAAGGTCCATGTAATTTCCTTGATTGGCGGATCTACTTGCTTCATTGTGACCCCTAAAACTTAGTTCATGCTCTCCCAGGAAACACGTTACATCTATTAATCGTTTTAAGACGTCCCTATTTTTTTTTACCCTTTCATTGTGAATTGTGTTGCTTATTTTTAAATGATTGTCCAAACTATGTTCAATGCGATAGGTCCCGAATGTTTTTTCTTTAATTGTAGCACTTATATGAGATTTGCTATTTACATGTCGTTTTACACTTTTGTGAAAATTATTCAAGTCTGTAATGCCGACTGAGTTCCAATGTGTTTTTCGGCTATATTAAAAAGTAGGCAAGGCCAGCAAAACAATTTCTTCAAAGTTTTGAAGCCGGTTAACTATTCATACTTTTCATAGAACCCTACGTGAAAATGCCTGGAAAATTTATTTGCCGACTTTTCTACTTTCATCTCTAAATTTATAGGCTCCTTTAGTTCTACTAGAATTAATAATGTCCGTTTTATCTTCAAAATTTCTACTTGAAAATCCCTTTTTCAATAAAGAGCACACAATACAGACACAATTTACCACATTATTATTGTTCACAGGCACAGTGCATAGTTCCTCCATTTTACAAAAAGAAAAACAACTACGAAAAACAAACCGAAATCTACCTGAAATCTAAGATTTTCCTCACACGTCGATTCGCGGTGCGAATTGCAATATGTGTAAGGTGACGTAACAATCGCTGCCTCTCGACCGCATTTCACTAAGCGAAATCACTTGGAAGATGAACCTGCTCTTTCAAGACGCGCTTCCGCCGACGGACTCGAAGTATATGGTGTGTACGTTTACACAATTAATTTTTTCATGGATGGTGCGTGCGTTTACACATTACACCAATGAATTGTTAGTGCATTTACGAAGTTTACGTAATGTTTCAGAGAAAATATAGTACCTACTTTAATATTAATTTCTACGCATTTAAAACTGAAAAATATTTCTTTTTAAATCTCAAAGTGTAGGGAAGCGGTGCTTCCCCCGCTTCCATGGACCGCACGCCCCTGTATATATACCCATGCCGTACGCCACTGGCAAAGTTTATTTAACATATTTTTTGCTGATAGGCTGTGTGATAGGCGTATCCATTTTTTGTACCATGGGTGTATCCTATGGGTGTATCATAAACGTTTCCGAATTTAAATTATACTGAGTATTAACAAAAAAAATTTGCCATTAAATTTTTTGCCAATTTTCAACTTTTAATTCCCTGTATTTCGAAAACGAGTAACATTTTTCCTACGCATGTTTAATAGTCTTATTTATAAATAGAAAATATTAAACATTCATAATGGTACACCCTGTGTATCATTGGTCCTGTTAAAGCCAACAGACCTACAGGGTTGCCATATCATAACCCATGCATTTTGGCAATTTTGAAAGGTCGTTGAACGCGTTTATAATATTTAAATGCATTTGACAACGTTTTCTTTGAGCTGAGATTCGATCAAATTGACGAAACTTTTTGGATAAAAAAATAACGTACTCCTTTACAGAATTCATCTGGGTTGGTTTCGGATCAGAGTGTTTCTAATAATTGACATTTGACACATTGTTTTGACTTTTGACGCGAGCAAGATATGCAAAAATGTGTTATTTTATGATTTGAGATTTAAGTTTCCAGAATCGGTTTCTCTACATTTTTAAGATTTAATATTTGTATTAAATCATTATTTATCCATTAAAAGTGTTTTAGAAGTTCGAAGCATGGAAACACAAGGTATATTCTTTATATATATATAATTAATTTTTTGAAAGCATGCTATTAATAACAACTTGAATCTTTACATAAAGTGATATTTTACTGTATACCCTTTTCTAGGAACTAGAACCATTCGCTTGAGGAGAATGGGAGCTCCAAATCTTAATGCAGCACCAGAAGGTAACGTGTGTAAAATTAACATTAGAAATACAACTATTTCTTCATAATATTTGTACAAAAAAGGATGAAGTTTAAATTAAAGTAATTAACAATGAAGTCTTGTTCAGAATTGAAATGGGCCTAATAAATTTAGTATTTTTCCCTATAATTTCTATTCAAAGGGCTCTTATTTTGTTTATGAAATGCTCAGTTTGAAAAACCTTGTCAAGGTATTTTTTAACAATTGAAAATACAAAGTATACACTGAAGTCATTCAACACTTGGCAAACTTTTAGTTTGGACAGGTACTAAAACGTATGTCTACACTAATTGAGCTGTGGCAAGGCCCTTGGAGTCTATGCTAGTCAACATTGCCAGGTATGGGTTGATAGTTTCTGGTGGTGGAGAAAGCGTCATCCTATGAGAAGTTGTTGCTTCATTTTCTTTGTCTGTCAGAATAAGTGAGAATAGCAATAAGTACAGACATACATTTTAGTATCTGCCCAAACTACAAATCTACCCAACACTTGACATTAGATTCTAAAACAATGTATATAACAATCTCTTCAACAAAACTTTTTTTATTTAGATATGATACAAAAAAATCTTCAACCATTGTTAGAACACACTGAAAAGAAAAAACGAGCTCAAGAAGCATACTATGAAAAAACTGAAAACGAAATGGGAATCAGTCCAATGATTCGCAATTCAAAAGCACCAGTAAGGCAAAGATTGGGCCGTAAAATAGCCTTTAATGGAACCAACACTGCTGCAATTCCTCCGAAAAAACGGCTGTACAAAGTAAATCCCACATTAAATAATTCAATACGCAAGCAACGAGTTGTGAAAAGGAATTTAGCTCAGATGAGGCTGAATAAAATAAGAGAACGACACAGACTTCAGTTAAGCCAATCAAATCTAAATAATAGTGCTCCAAAAAGACTCAGAAAACTAGGTCCTGTTAGCAATATGCTAAGGGTTGAAGTTCGTAATAATAATGCTCACATAGTAAACAATCAATTAGTTAATCAGGTACCAGGCAGGCATAGACAAGTTCTTGATAGTACTTTACAAGCAGAAATCAGAGAGTTACAAAGTTTGCATCAGTCTGTAGAGATGTTCTTTAATGTTAGATTTAAACCGGTTACAACTGCAATACCTATTGGTGACCGCTTTAGCCATCTGTTCTAAGTTAAGATTGTAAAATAGTTAGGTTTTTCAATAAGTTTTAGTTATTATTTCATAAAAGAAGTTAAGTATTTTTATGTTACCATTTTCTGTTCACTTTTAAAAATTAATAACATTAAAGAGTTTTTCAATTGCTATTTAAACTTGAACTGTTTTTTATCTGAGATACTTAATTGAGTAACTCTGAGGTAAACTGCTCTATGTCAACATAGTAATTTTATTTATAAAAGTAAACCTAAGCTCATCAAGACAATTTATGCAAATAAAAAACAAAATAGAAGATTTATTAGTTAGATTAGTAAACAATAAATAAATATTGTGACAATAATTGGGTCTAACTGTATTTCTTGTCGAAAAATATAATGTGTAATTATGGAGCACAAAAGGTGCCCAAATAACATTCAATCTGCTCCACTAAGAGTTGACTAGAATGACATTCAATTTACCTCCAAGGTACTGAAATGTTCTCACCAAAAGCATACATTATGTATTTAATAATTTTTTACTATATTCAGGATGTCCCAAAGATCATCACTCACTGATGTAAATGTGCCCAAAAATAGAGTGCTTTTAATAATACAGAATACAGGGCGTTCCTCAATCATATGTAAATCTATATGAAAAATCAATGATAGTTTTTTTTAAAAATACAAAATGGCATTCTTCAATAATTCCATTAATTTTCTCAATGTAATGGTTTTCATATTTTTATTCAAAAATGGCGCATCACAGGAAACTATGTTTTGACACATATTAAGTTGTGTTACATTACATTGGCAATGGTCTAAAACATAGGTGGTAACATATTAAACATCTATCAAACAAAATGAGAAAATTTGTAGCTCTGGTATTTTTTAAATTGGGTTTAATATTATTTGGAACGTCTTGTGTAATCCAAGGTATATTTTCATTGTGGCTAGACAAGGAATTTATTAAAAAAAAAAAAAAAAAAATTGTACAATTTCAGGTCAAATATTAACTGACAATATGTCTTGAAATATATTAAAGCAGAAGGTGCTACTGAAAGACTAGAATAAAATGTTATAGTAAAAGTTTCAGTTATATGAAATAGTAGTTATATTCTAATACTTGAGTATTTATGGTTTTTAATTGTACATTTGAATTAGTAAAAAAAATTATAAATGTATGCAGTATTGTGTGAATTAATGTAAACACAAGTGATAATTTAAAAACTCATATAAAAGAAATAGTATTACATTTAAATTGTTTTAATAAGAAATATGACTTCTCTTGGCTTTTATAATCTTTTCAAGATTTTTTGCAGAGAGTCAACAAGTTTTATATAGTCTTTTTTACATTTGCTGTTTTTGAAACTACATTTGGATTTTACGAAATCTAGCTTTTACAATAACCCACATATTTTCGATAGGATTTGGACCCAGTGAATTTCGTGGCAACAAATTAAATCGTTTTTTCTCTTTGAAATATTTTATCATGACCTTTGACACGTAACATGGAGCAGAATTTGTTGTCAATTTTCTTAGTTCAGCTTCCAGTCTTTGTTCTAGCGTGTCGTTATTTTGAATGTTCATCATCCCTTCAACCGACACAAAACGGCTCCAAAACTAAGAAGTTTTTCAACAATATTCACATCCATGACAGTGTTGAAGATTATGATAAAACATGAAACAAAGGACAAAATGATTTCATGTTTTAAATGGCCAGGAAATTCACCGGATCTAAATCCTACCGAAAATATATTTGCTGTTATAAAAGCTAGACTTATAATATATTATACAATAAACAATAATTTGTAATTATTTGTAAACCAGATATGGTTTCGAATCCAGAATATGTCAGAAATCAGTAAAAAAAAGTGTTCTTCCCGGGCATTTATATCCTGCCTTCTTTGTAGAATAAGGTGTTGTAAGTGGCCTTCTTCCCCTTTTCTTTTAGCAAACTTCTAAGACAGTTTTTTGAGTCGTTCAGTATTTGGTGTGATTTCTCATATAAAAGCTTGTTGTTTGGGCAGTACGGCTTGGGATTAAAGTATTGAGGGTTTACAATGACAGAATATAGGTACCAGGTACAGTTGTAGATAAAAAACTTTCAATGTTTATTATAAGGTACAATATACCTTTCTAAAATACTGAAATTTTTTTACCTACAACTGTACTGAGATCTTCATTCTATCATTGTGAACCCCAATATTTTGGTCAAGAGCTGCCACTGTGTTTGGGTTTCGTAGTGGATTGTTTTTTTCTTTGTGTGTAACCAATCAGTGGTCCACATTTTATGATGCCTCTGTTTAAGAAAATTTATCTCTGACTTTAAACGATCTTATGAGCAAAGCCCGTCAAATGAAAGAAATAAATGATAAATGATCACTTGTGTTCACATTAATTTGCACACTACTGTAATTATTAAACTGATAACATGAAAATTGATGCTCATATTTTCATTTATACAACAATATGATCTGTGTTTGAAGATACAAAAAAATCCCTTTTTAATTCATTGCTGGAAGAATATTTAATTTATGTTTACATTCAGAATAATTATTTTTTGTTTTTGGTCTCGAAAGGTAAAAAAATGTCAAGTTTTAATAGCATAAGAAAATTAATTTTTTAAAGATTTAAATAAAAGCCACCCTCTTTAGGTATAACACGAGTTTTTGACAAACATTTTCAAGTCAAAATGAGTTAAAAGTTTCGATTTTTTAAAATAAAATCAAGATTAATTTAACCGAATTACGATAGACATGTCAAAATTTTGATTTCATTATTTAACTAGTCCTCGAGTTATACGAAAACACTTAAAAAAAAACTAAACACCCTTTATGGTAAACCAATGTCAGGAAAAATTTAGTTATTTAAATTATGTCAGTTAAGTATTAGTTTGTATAAATACACTATTTTGAAAGTCTGTAGATTTCATTTCTAGGTATTTTAGAATAAATATTTTTTTATATTTTTCTGATGAGGCTTAATTACCTTATTTTATGCATTTTTATATTATTTAAAAAGAATACTAATTACAGATGATGTTATCTTAGTTGCATTAAGATTTTATAAATCAGCATTCATATCGACGGCGAAACTTGATAAGTTTGTAACTTCAGATTTTAGTGCCTTTAGGTATACTGTAACTGTAGAAAATTTTGTATCATCCTTTTCTGCAGTAATTGTTCCAAATTGGAAAACATAATTCTACGTAACTCCAGACGGCTGACATTTGTATATCGAAAAAAGTGTATTTTTGCCTCAGATAAATAAATTATTTATCTGAGATCTCAAAACACTTGGACATAATTTTAAGAAAAACCGTTTTTTGCCTCTCCTGTAAACATTCCTAAAATGGAGTCATACCCTTATTTTGGTTTCGCCGTCGATATAGTTAAGGCCTGTATTTACAAATCCGATAAATGAAATGATTTTGCATCTAAATTAATTTGTTGAAATAAGTACCTACCTCATTCATTATTACTCCAAACATATTGCAACACGATCAAAAAACGAATGCAGCACAAGATAAACACACGTGTCTAAATTATTTTTAATAAATTTCCTTTTTGATTTTATACAATACTTGTTTGATTTTTCGGTATTTATTTCTACAATTAAAGGTCTACGTATTTTTTGTCTAATATAAATTAAGTTACTTAAAAACTAACGTGGGGTACATGTATCGGTGAAGATTCAAATGCTATTATAGTTCCAGTTGATAGCTAAGAAATAACACTGTATATTGCATTTTTAAAAACCTGCATATTCGAAAACTTGAAAAAACAATTTATACCTAATACTTTTGGTATTTTTGTAGACAATTTTGTTATTGGAAATATTAAGGTAGGTAAATCTAACTTTGGATAATTTCAGAATATAAAATTATGAGAAATTTCTTTTAATTTCAAGTCAAGAACTGTTTTAACTGTAACTAATAAACTCTTCACATGGCAATATTTAAAAATGTACTTCTTTTTTAGCCGCACTATTATTCGATTCGACAAACATAATTTGAATCTTTTCCATTATTTTTGTTTAGTACGACAAAATTGAGGTGACAAGTCAGAATTAGATTCCCACTGGCAAATCTAAAAATGGAAGGAGTTATCTCAGTCAATGGCTGAACTTCAATGCTTTTGTTTCAGCAATCTATTTGTGTTCACTTGTGTTAACTGAGATAACTCCTCCCATATTAAGATTTGCCAGTGCGTATCTAATTCTGACTTGCCATCTCAGTCTAGGCTTACTGTACCTAAGTTGATTTTCCTTATCTTCTAGAGGTACCTATTAGCTCCGTGCGTGACAGCAGCGCTAATTCATTTATGTACTAATGGACTATTTCTGCCTATACTGACAATACAATTTTTAATAGAATGCGTAATTAAAAAGTATATGTTTTAATAAAAGTATATGGATTTGTAAAACAAGTAAAACATTAATTTATTATTTTATTACATATTTTTATCGTCAGGAGTTATTGTACAAAAAACGCATAAAAAAATTAGTGGTGTGCCTAGGGCTATGCTTGAGCCGCCCCTGCAAAAACTACCTCTTTTATTTATATTTTTGTAAAAAAGGTATTTATAATATTGGATTGGCGCCATAAAAATGGTGTGCCACTCGTCCTCATGGGTTCACCATGCCACTTATAAAAATACACCTTAGTTTGGAAATGTATTCATTAAATTTAATTTAAAAAATTATTTTTTTAAGTAAATAATTAAAAAATTAACAATTAAAAATAAACACTTGACAATAATTATTATACATATTTTATAAACTATTTAATTTAGTAAATGTTCAACATGTCCTCCTCTTTCTTGAATACAAAAATATAAATAAAACAGGTAGTTTTTGCAGGGACGGCTCAAGCACAGCCCTAGGCACATCACTAATTTTTATATGCGTTTTTTGTACAATAACTCCTGACCTACTCTTAGTTTTGTTGATATGTTTAGTCCAGGACGGACGAATTGCTCTAGAAATTCAGTTAAAAAATTGTAAATAGCTCGTTAACTAAGAAAGATACAAAGTTCATTTCGCTATAAAAAAAATTAAAAATTCATAGTTCTTTTTGATTTTAAGATCGATAAAGCAAGTTTCTTTATGCCAAAAAAAATACGGGGGGGGGTTAAAAGGTACCCAACCCCCCAATTTTTTTTAAGGGTGTCGCTTTAATTTTTTTTCTCTTTAGAATATTGGGCTTTTAAATCTACAGCACTGGCAAAAATTTCAAGGAAAAAATGGCAACAGCAAACTTTTTACAAAAAAAAACGCTTTTCTGAATGTTAGTTTAACGCCCTGTACCTTTGTTGGGAGCCAGTTTTTAATATAGGTAAATATAGCCAAATCCACTTATTTTTTGGTAATCTATCTGAGGAAGAATTTATGACGTACCTTTTTGAAACACCCGGTATGTATTTGACGGTTCGATCGAAAATACAGTACGTCTCAAAAAGACATTTTTAAATATTACCATATGAATAACCAATCAGACGAATAAAAAATCATCCTGTTCTCTACGAAAAATATTAATGTCTTGGTAATAAATATATTTAAAATTAATTACATTATACACAGGGATTCCTCTAAATTTTTATTAAGATGTATGTCTATCTGTAATCATCCTGTAGACATAATTTGTAGGATGTGTTTTTAAATGCAATCATAACCATACTTTAACATTTTATATCTGACTTTTTTTATTTTAAATCACAATTTAACTAGTATTTTAATAGTATTTCATTGTTTTTAAGATTGGACGCAATCATAAAAAAAATAAGATGAACTTGCCATTTTACTATGTTGTTATCCGAAAGGTATTAAAATCGTTAAGAAATCTATAATTATTTGTGGACAAAAAAATATATTAACAAATAATCCTAGAGCCAAAGTGCAGTTTTGTGACTTATTTCAAAACTGGATGCTTGTACCAAAGTAAGATAAACATGTTTTTAGTGTCCAACAG